CATAGCAGGCTTATTACCACTCTTGACAGTCTCCAGGTAAGCATGAGAAGTCTTGCTTCTAAAATTAGAGTCTCCAGAATCTTAACAAGTGAAAACACACTGGATTTGTGTGACTTAATTTTGGTCCTGCTGCTACACACAAATCCAGCCAAGCAGACTGAAGTTTGATTCCCATATGTCTTATTCAAGGCACAGCTATGTCATTCACCAGTGCAGATCAGGGAAGCAGCATGCAGATGAAGCTGCTGTAGCGCGTATTTAGTGAGCAACATCTTCTTTTGTGTGCTTTGTCAAATGTTCTAGCATGGGGAAAATAATTTCTGTGCTTGGTCTGGTATTGTAATTCCTGTTAAGCAACTATAAATGCTTCATTAAGGTTTACTTCCCAATCACCTGTGACCCTATTCAAAATTGCTCTAAATCAAATAATGCTATTAGAAAAGTCACTTGTGCAAGGTGTTATAAATCATCATGTAAAAATGACAGAGATGCAAGCAGCCACTGAAAACTGCACTGAATGCTTGAGTCCTTCAGAGGGGACAAGCAATTACAGTCTTATTTATTCAGACTTTGGCAACCAATTTCTACCTTTTGGTTCTCCTGCCAGAAAAATCAGTACAATTGTTTGCAAGTGCACAGCAAACAGTTTGAGGAAGACATCTGAAAAGTGTGTAAGCATCTGAAGGGTGGTGAACCTGAGTACATCAAGATGGTGCCTCACTTCATGAACAGATGAAAGCTGTTTTCAAAATGCGTTTCCTCCATTATTCCCCAAGGATGAATCTGCATCTGGCATGTTTTGAACTGGTGTTTTGCAGTCATCTAATGTACTCCCCTCGTCTCTTCTGACAGATGCCAAAGTAGCTCCACCATCACCTCCCATTCAGCCTATCCACCTCAGCCCAACCAACAGAAGCTGGCAGAGGTCAGTTCCCACATCTCAAAAGTCAGAAGCTGCCAGAGTCCTGCCTGAAATCTCATTGCTGGAATAAGACGCTCTTGGACAAAAGACTCTGCTAAGAAATGCAAACTTTTAAAAGGTAAGACCCATTCCAGACACTGGAAACAGCTATTTAAGAATGAGACTATTTAAGAATGTAATTTCTATGCATTCCCGTGATCCTGGCCTTCAGTGAATGGAAACAGTATTTTCTTGGATCAAAATTAAAAGAAATGGATGAGCTCTGAATAGTACAAAATGATGTAATTGTGGATATTCACAATTTACTTAAAAATAGTTTTCAATATCAGGAGAAAAAGGAAGTGTCAGCTCTTAGCACTAACAACTTCCTCTTTTATCTCTGTTAATGTAGCATGTGTTATCTCAGGAAAAGGAATTTGAAAAATCACATGTTTAACAGAACTTGTCACAACTGAGCAAATATTTGATCTTTGAGTGTTACCAAAGTGTAAGTAAATGTAATGCAGCAGCTGAAGAACACTCATTCTCGGTACATTTTGAAAAAGCAAGCAAGAGTCAAGCAGAAAGGTGTATAATGCTCTGTCTCACCATCATATAAAATAATTTGAATATGTTAATTTGAAATTTTCTGAAAGTTTCCCTTGTCCTTCATTGTTGACAGGTCATTAATTGAAGAAATGAGAAGTGGAAAAGTTGGGTAAATAAAGCTGTGTTAGCTGCTCTGAGAGTTGCCCTCTCTTCCAAAATACAGTGCCGACAATATTCTGCTCTTGGGTGTGTCAAAATGCCCAAATTAGGAAACCTATTTGTTATTAATATAATCAAACAATAAATTACCATTTGCAACCCCAAATGATTTTTTTCAGACATTCATTTCAAGCATATTTCCTTGTTTCCTTGGAAACTGAGAAATGAAGAAACCAAATTAATCCAAACTGCTCTTCTGTATCACTCTCTGCCAGTGTACAAAATTCCTTCTCATTAAAAGCTGTGGTATAAAATTTCCGTTATGTGTAGTGTCCAAATATTTGTTAAGTCATCAAAAAAGGCATTTTTAAAGCCAAATGATACATAGGTCAAATTTTTAAAAATCCAGCTTCTTACTCTAAGATATACTGTGCTTTAGAGAGCTTCCACACAAATCACATGATCTTTACAAGTGTGCAGGCCAGTTCATTAAATGACAGACCAGGTCTCAGCCCTGAAGCCACCATGAATGCACACCTTGTGAGTAATCACTTCAGGCTGGAAATTCAGCTTTCAGCATCCTTGTAGGAACAGAGGTATTCTAATTTGCTTATAAGGGACTTAAGTACTGCTATTTACTATTATGAAGAACTGACACTGTTATTAGACAAATAATAGAAAATAAGGCCAAAAGAGTTCAGATATTCTCCATTTCCTTCCTCTTCCACGCAGTGACCTTTCTTGCACGAATTCCAGTTCAATATTTCCTCCACATCAGCCTGTCTCCTCTACAACGTCCTTTGATTTTCCACTTCACACCCTGGTTCCCACATTCAGCAACCCAATACTTTTTCCCAATACACTCCTCATAATATCTTCACCATCATCTTCCTCCCTGGTTTTCATGGGGGTGGGGGCCACTCAAGTAAAATTAACCCTGGCCCTTTCCATTCACTGTCAAACACATCACAACCTATTGCCTATTTTTGTCTGCCTTCAGTATTTGTCAAATACAGGACACAGAGATGTAGGATATCATGTGTTTTGCTTTTTAATAAAGTCAAGTATTTCAAAGGGTAACAGATAAATACAGCATTATGCTGTCATAACTCCCCCCTTCTACACCCAAAAGGACAGATGGGATAGAATTGCCTTCTACAGGATGTCACTGGTTCTCAAAACTGTTTTCTACAAACATGAGAAAATCAGATTTTCTCTAACCTGTGGCTTGAAGAGATATCCTAATTAAATGTAATTACAAAACCTAGCTGCCCCAAAGACAAAGGGGCTCATCCAGTCCTTTCTCAATCACGATTATCATTCTGATTCTCTTTTTCCCTTGAATGATAGAAATTTTGTCCCAGCATTCACAATTACCATCAATCCCACAGTGCCTCAGCTGCATTGGTTAGTGCACTCTAGGGAATCAGCCAAGATTTAATTTATTGCCCTCTAGGAGATGAATATTGTGTAACCTTTAAATTAGGTTACTGTATAACCTTTAAATTCTTGTTTCCCAGTGGCTTTTGAAAGTTATGTGTAGAGATTTAATTGGACTTCTCATGAAACTTGACACCCCTACAAAATTCCAAGACGTTTTCCGAGAGCTTAGTCTCAACCTATAAGATGGCACAGCCTGAAAAGACATTATAGTGCTCAAGGTAATGACAGGGTTTTTGCTGTATCTCCTCAGAGTGACCTTCCTTTTCTAATGAATTGTTATGGAAGTCAAAATCCAAAATGAAGATTCTAATTTTCTTATAATATAATCCCCCAGACACAGGTCTGGGTAGATGAGATGCCTCCAGAGCAAGCCAAACAGCTGACGTCATGTGCAGAGTACAGCAATACAATGAGGAACACAGTAAAGCTGGTGAATTGGGAAAAGGGAATGGAAAAAGTGAACCCACAGTAAAGGGAATACCGGTTCTCAGGTATAAGTATTTATATGCAGTTTTCCTACAGAACACCAAAGCTGAGATTTTAGGGAAGGCTGAAGCAGTGAGGTAGCTGATGGTGTAGAAAACACTGTCTGTTGCCTCCTCACACTGAGCGCTCTGACATCACCCCAGAACATTTAAGAGGCTGCCCTGCAGAATGCCGAGAGCACTACAAGGCAGGCGGAGCTCTATTACCCCACTCTCTCCTAATGGCTCTGTGCTGCCTGCCAGTAATGCACAGCACAGATGGTGTATGGATGATATAGAGACAATACCTAATTTTTCACCAGCCTGTGACACCCTCCTAGATACATGTTGGATAAAAAATTACCATTTGTAATTACTGAGATTCACAGTAATTTAGCTCCCACAGAGGTGTCTATCTGTAATATAAATATGCTTTACTATAGACAACAAACTAACATGAGTCATATGTGGTCCAGTTTTCACCTGGAATCAACCCTAAGCAATGTGAGGTTTATATTTAATTATTCCGTCCTTTTGTCTGTCACTGCATGCCCCTCACAGATTTTGAAGCATTTGTCAGTTTGACAAGTCAAGTGGAGAATTGGGATACAAATCTCAAAGCCACCACATTTGCTGAAATTTCATGAGAATTCAAGGAGTAGAACAGACACCCCATTAGTCTCTTGATTAATGTCAACACTAATTTCACAGTTTTACTTAAGCCTCTTACGAATTTGGAAAGAGTAATGACACATCTCTTGACTGGTGGCTCTGCACATGGGTATCAGCTGGGCATATAGGCAGGAGGAAAAAACTACAGGTGACCTTGCCAAGACGGAGAGATCCAGAGGACTCAGAGGAAATAAACAGGGAGAAAAAACATCCCTCCCTAGGCAACCAGGCCTCATAAGCTGTGCTGCTTAAGCAACAGTGTGTTCCTTGTAGGAGAAAGACACCAACCCCCTTTTACAAGCTCATCTGCCTAAAGCTGAGTAGAACTTTATATATATATATATATATATATATAAGTATTAACAGCTGACAAAGTTTTTATTTCCCAAGCAAACACATTCACCTTTATAACAACCTTCTCATACTGCCTGTGTTCCTACCGCTATTCCTCGGTATTATTACTAATGATCTAAAGCAACATGAATGGGTTTAAGTCTTTCCTCGCTGAATCCTTTCACACATACTGTTACCATTTAAATTACCTGAGACCGCAGACTTAAAACCCCATCCTTCACCAGCCCCTCGGCGAGCAGATAATGGAGCGCTGTTCTCGGGATGCCTCTCAGCAGCGGCACCGCGTTCCTGCTCCTCCCGATCAGAGCGCAGGGCACCCACTGCAGCTTCTCTGGTTTTTGGACTTCACTTAACCCTTTCCGCCTTATTTTAGACCCGCACCCCATCCAGGACTTCAGATTAAGACCTCCTTGCTGTCAGGTACCACCAGCACTGCTGTTCCCCTGGAAATTCTCATTTTACACCCTCTTTTCTATTTCGCACACCGAGCATCTCTCCTCACTAGCGGGGTTATCCGACCCGGCACACTTGCTGCGGAGAGCGGCGCTGGGATCGTGTGGCACAGAGGGAACCCGCCCGGCCTGCAGCCGCTCCCGGCGCTGCCAGCCGGGCTCCACAGCCTCACCGCCGGGCTCTGCCACCTCCTCCCGAGAGTGCGGCGTGATCCCGGCCGGCTCTGCCAGGAAAGCTGCCCAGCTTTCCTGCCGCGACGTGCCTTCCCGAGGGATACAAGGCGGCTGCGCCCGCCATGCCCGCCCGCTCCCGGCACGGCACAACCCGGCACGGCACGGCACGGCACGGCACGGCACGGCACGGCACGGCCCACCGCCTCCCTCGCCTCTCGGGGCGTCCCGGCGGGGAGGAGCCCAGGGAGCTCCGGGCGGGGCGGCGCGATCTCGCCGCTGGCGGGGACTGCCCGGAGCCGCCTCCACTGTCCCCATCTTCCCCCGCTTCCCCGCGGCGGCGGCGGCGGCAGGACCAGGTGAGGGCGGGCGGGGCGGTGCTCGGCTCCGCTGGGGGAGGGCCCAGGCGGTGGCGGCGGCTCCCGGTGGCGAAGGAGGGGCCGGGCGGGGGGAGCTCGGGCGGAGGGAGGCCGGGCTCAACTTGACAGGAGGGAGGGAGCGAGGGCAGGAGGCGCTGGTGGCTGCGCTGGCCGGGCGCGGGTGAGTGAGCGGGCGGCGGCGCGGGGAGGGCAGCGGGCGGCGGAGCGCAGCGCAGCGCAGCGGGCGCTCCCGGCGGATGGCGGGCGGCCGGAGCGGGGAGGCGGCGCTCGGCCGCGCCCGGCGGACGGGGAGAGAGGCGGGGACAACGGGCAGTGCCCGGCTCCGCTCCGGGGGCTCGCGGCTTCGGCGGCGTCTCTTCTCTGGCGGCGGCCCGGAGGAAAGTTTCGGGGATGCCGGTGAGGTGGGGGCTCCCCCTTCCCCTCCGCCGCCGGCGCCTCTCCGCCGGCTCCTCGGAGCCCGGTCGCCAGCCGGCGGATGCCAGCCTTGACGCCGCCGTCGCTTAGCGCCCGATCGCAGACAAAGCCGCCTCCCCACCTGCAGCTCCGGTCCCCTCCCCGCCCGAGGCGGCCCCGGGGACCGCGGGCCGGGCAGGCTGCCCTGCCGGGGACGGGCGTGGGGAGCGACACCGGCCCGCTGAGCGCCAGCAAACTTATTTTTAGATGTGCTTCCCATCACAATGTGTCTTAAAAATAGCATGGTTCTTATTTAAGGAGTGGGAAATAAACTGGTTCTGGAGGCCTCGTGGTGGGATTATTTTTTTCTTAAACCTTTTCTTCTTTAAAGAGAAAAAAAAATGTTTCAGTGATATAGGCAACTGTGGGCCGGTTAATATCCACAGGTGCACCTAGGGTGCTTTTACTACGTCTTCATTAAGGTCACCCCTGAAGCATGTGAACAAAGGTGCCCATGGCGTTGTCCTCTGCAGTGTGTCTTGGGTGTGAGACGCGAGGTCTGATGTAGTGCACACCTGATTCAGGCAATACTTCCTGTAGGGTCACTCGAGCTTTTTTTGATCTGTTGTTTCCTTCGTTTTCCGTCCTGTCACTCGTCTCCAAACGCCTGCAGCTTGTGGGTGATGCAGGCTGATGGAGTGATAACAGCCTGCAAGGATCAGAGCTGTTTATTACTTTGTAAATGAATCTTTTGCTTTTGTTTTAGCTACTGTATCTCAGCAGACTCTGGTGATGGAACTACCATAAAATAAATGGGTCTTGTTGCACCAAATGTGTAATATTACATCATTTCTGTCAATGACCTCATCATGATTGCTCGCAAAACGTTTCTGATTTTTATTTTGAAGTGACTACAAATAATTGGAAGACTTGTGTAAAATGAAGCATATATGAAAATGGAAAAGTACACCTCCAATAGGGAAAGGAACTTTAGGGGGGAAAAAAGCACTGATTTGTAGAGTATTTTAAATTGCAAAGGACCTCTGGATGTCACCTAGTTCTGTCTCCACACTCAAAGCAAGTGCAGTTGGGTAATGTTTCTCAGACTTTGTCCATGTGAGTTTTGAGTATTTCCAGGAATGGAGGTTATGCAGTCTCTGTGATTATGATGGTGCCAGTGTTTGACCATCTTTGTGGTCATTTTCTTAATCTATTGGCAATTTCCTGTTTTGCAGTTTGTTTGTGTTTCTTCTTACTCTGCCACTGTGCACCTCACATCCATCCGTGGGTAATCACCCATGTACATCTCATGTACATCTGTAGTTTAAGACGCTACAAGAAGCCATGCTAGTGTTTTGAACCAAGTAACTGATTGTTTCATGACATCATTTCAAGTATAATAGCTAGATTTTATTCTTATACATCAGAAATTTATTAATCCCAAACATTTGCTTAACATTTCTTATTTATTTGAATGTGGTTAATAGCAGATTAGCATATTAATTTGAAATGCATAAACATGTGGTGAAGACTATTTGTTGGTGCTTTCCTTAAATAAATGTCTCAAATAATTTACCCATCTCTGTTCCCTGGCCTTGTGTTCCTTAACCTGAAATTGAGATTGTTTGCTCCCAGCTTTTGCTAGAGTACTTTCACCATCAACAGTGTCATGTATAATCTCTTAGAATGACAGATAGTCTACTCATTTTAATAGAAGGAAAGCTTTTTGGCTTTAGTCTTGAAATAGATTTTCCTTGGGAAGGGATGTGCCATGAGCAATACAGTACAACCTGTTATTACTGAGAAGTTGCCTTTGTACTATGTGGGTGTTGTTTAATGCTCTGGAGCTGGTTGGTATTTATGATGCTGTTGATGTGGTAAATAATGTGGGCACCTGTGGGGTTTTTTTTTAGTGGGTTTTTTGGGGTTTTTTTTGGTTTTTTTTTTGGTCCAGCAGGAAAAGAAAAAAAAAAGCTTCTGTGCTGTGCGGAATAAAAATCTGCATGTTCTCCACCATGGCACAAGGCTGTCAAAATTACTTGTTTCTTAATTTGCGTAAATTCTTGGATGTTGCTGATAATACCCCAAAAGCAGGGGAATATATTTGTAATGTGATTTATAGTATGTCACTTCTGGACATGTCTGGGTAGAATTTCAAAACATTAGTGTGGTGCTGTTAATAGCAAATGCTTCTGAGTAACTCATGCTTTCCATTAGAGCCATATCAAATAATTTATTAGAAGCCGTTTGAATGACTGGCTGCACTGAATTTGATGATATTTAGAATCATTTGATAAATAATTTAACTTATGTGTCCAGATAGCAGCTGCCTTTTTATAATGCTGGGAACACCTGATGGGTCCATTCATTGACTTGTATTAATTGTAGTGAGCTTCCACTCAGAAAGAAATCAAATCTATGGGTCAGTTTTTTTGTGGTGTTATTTTATATTATTGTATTTAGTCAGGTAATGACTGCATGAGACTTAGATGCTCTAACATTGACATTTATAAATCTCTTCTGCAAGCTTACTAAACTCTAGATTATGTATTCAAGATTTTAAATTTTACCATTTAAAATTTATTTTAGGTCTTTTAAAATGCTATTTTTCATTTCAGACGTGGACTGCATAGTCTGTTTATGCTTTTCCCAGTCTGTATTAATCTCCTGCTAATTACGGTGAAATAAATAAATAAATGACATTACATTTCCACAAAATCAAACCTTTTCAGGGGTATAAAGGCTATATTTTATTTGACAATTTATTTGAGGGTGATTTGCATAGTTGGAAAAACAGTTTATCTTGGACCGTTAAGATCAAAGTCTTGGAAGAGGTGATCATCAGGATAGCAGTGATTCGTGTAATAAAGTTCAGTTTGAATTTGGTTAACAACATAAAACTGGGAATGCTCTTGTCAGACTCACAAATGGTTTGCTTATTGTAGTGGGTACAGAAAGGCTGTCAGTGGCTTTAACTTTATTGTTATAGGACAGAATTTCATAATGCAGCTCATACGCTTTCAGTTTTATGGCCTGGAGGACTGAACGTTGGAACGGCTCTGCTAAATTAAACCTGGGGTCTGTGACAATGACTAATAAAACATGCTTCAGAGGGAATTGTGAGAATAAATGGGAGGTAATTTGCATCCCCTGCTCAAGGTGAATATGCTACTTTGTAGTTTGGAATTGGCTTAAAATCTGAATAAAGTTTAATAGCCTCTTCAGATGTTATTATGCATAATTATGATAATTTCCTACATACTTGTTGCTGATAAAAGTAACCAGTCTAGATCTGTGGCTAATTTGGGGGGCAAGTATTTTATGCTGGTGTTTTATTTGCTTGCTTGTTGCCAGACTGTTTTAGACTCAGGCCAAATTAATTTAATGTTTTCCACCAGACTGAGTGATTTGGGGTAATGTGACATTTGGGGAAAAGAGGTTCTTCCGCCCACAAAGTTTATAGTTTGAACTGTAGTGGTGACTATACTCATCTGGATATGAAACCTGCCCAGTTGCAGATTGCTTTTCTGTTTGTGTTAGAGCAAGGTCTGGAACAGAAACTGTTTCTCAGAGAATTCCATTATCACCAGTTTGTAGGAAGGTCTGGGGTGTGTATCTTTCAACTTCTCTTGTGGAATTGACGTAGAGACCATGCCTGTACTTGCTAATTTGGTATTTTATTTTGGACTTGGAAAACTTGGGAAGTTTGTGTTCCAACAGCTGTCCTAGTGAGTTTTCAGGTATTTTAAATGTAAACAACATCTACAAAAAAGCCTGAAATTACACTGATACATACTAACTTGAGTCTCTTGAGCTCTGGGCTAGACTTAAAACTTGGGATAAAAAAGCATTGTTAGAGTACAGTCTGTTCCTGAACATTGCTTAATTCCACTATCATATCATCTTGAATGAGGGATGCTTATCATCTGTCATTTATTCTAAGCAATTGCTTCTGAATACTGTTAGATTTTTGGTGTTTATGTCTTCTGGTAAGAATAGGTTATGCGCTGTATATGTTTATGAACTTGCCATTGTGTAGTGGAATGGCACCAGTCAGTATTACTCAGTGAATACCTGTGATTCTAAGTATAAAGTTATACTGATTAGGAACTTTTTATGACTTTTTTGGACTTTATAGATTTCACATGAAGCTCCATGGAGGGTTTTGAAATGGTCAAATTCTGCAGTTCATACCACAAGCTCCATACTGACAGGCTCCATACTATGTTTAAGGACTTACATGTTTGAACTTTGATTGAAATTGCAGATAATGCTGCTCCAAATCAGCTTCTATGTTGCCTCAGCTTCTGTGTATGATGGATGGCTTCACATTTGTCTTTTCCATAAAGAAATCCATTATTTGCATATATACACCCAACTGGCCCTGAAAGGAGTGCTGTTGCTCCTGCCTGGGAGTTACCTTTCCTAGACTGGAAGTCAGTAGGCTGTGGTGTTAATCCCATGAAAACTCCACCTGTTTAAGTTATTGGTCACTAACAAGTTTGGATCGTACATGTACTCATGTACGATCCAAACTTGTTTTTCACAAAATGCTTTGTGTTTGCAACACAACCACACATTCTGTTCTCAGCAGTACTGGCATCACTGCTGCAAGCATGAGACTGCTATAGATGGCAGTGTCAGGCTGGGGAAACGATGGGAGAATTTCTGGTGACTACAGACACAGGAGGTTAGAACTAAATTTAAAGCCTGGATTTCTGTCCCTAGTAATTGAAGTTTATTTCCCAAAATAGCACTGATAAAAATCATAGCTTTCACTGACTTTTTGTTGTATTATCCATGTCAACCAAGAAGTAATCTTAAATGCTTTAGGCAAATGTCTAAAAGGAGGGTTAAAAATGTAGTAGGTGTTTACTAGCATACTTAAGACTTACTTCTTGAAAATTTGTTCTTCAGAAGAAAAGATTCTTATAAACCTCTTAACATATTTTTAAATGAGCTGGAACAAGATGTGATATTACAAATAGTATTACTAAGGACTATTAAATATTAGCCCATGCTTCATGCTTCACTTAATTAGAGTGCTTTGAAAGGAGTTTAAGTGTCAGTCGTCATCATAAATGAGTGATTGTTAGGATGTGGATTTATTTTATTCTTTGCATCATAATACGTGGTTTGTTTTGGAGCAGAAATTGCAAGACCTTCATACCAGGCCATGACAGAACATACAAATTTGGCATGGGATTCCAAACTGGAGCACCTCACTGGAGTAAGACCAGAATTTCTCGGGCCATTCCACTTGTAAGGGAGTGGAAGCCATTCAGCAGTGGTATAGGATATTGC